GAGTGGCTTTGTTGCCCTTCAAGCCTTTCCAGCTTCAAATGGATCTCTATGATGCTTGCTAAACACACACCCTTCATAGGTTTCATTTCATGAATCCATCTTTGGTATGCCTTGCACTATTTCATGCTTTTGTAAATTTTGTAAGCTTGTCATGTTTAAATGACCAAGCCTCTTGTGCCATAGCTTCATAGAACCTGTCACACTTGCTTTTCTCACCACTTCCTCTAGATACTTCAACATAAGTAGAAAGCTTATGTTTTTCACTTCTACTCTAGTCACTATGTTTGATAGGGACCTGTCATCATAAATCTCAACCACAGTTCCCCCAAAAAGTAGGAAATAGCCATGCTCCATCATTTGACCCACACTGAGTAAATTCTCATCCAATCCAAGCACTAGCATCACTTCCCTTATGCATCTTCTTCCTTTCTTAGTGTTAATGACCAGAGTTCCTCTTTTGGTGGCTTTGACAATGTTTCCATCTCCTATTTTCACGACAATGTTTCCATCTCCAATTTTCACTTTTCTAGTGAAGTTTGTGTCAAGGTCAATGAGTAATGACTCATGTGCAGTCATATGGTTGCTGCAGCCACGGTCAATGTACCATACTTCATTGTTTTTCTCCACTTTTGCACTGAAAGTACATCACACATTTGCTTCTTCTTCCACTTGATTTGCACAGTTCACTTGTTGCACATTCTTTGATCTGCAATCCTTCATGATGTGCCCGAACTTGTTACATTTGCGACATTTAGGCTTGTCCTTGAACCAACACTCTCCAAGATGGAATTTGTCATAGTGCTTGCATTGTTGCTTGGTTCTTGGACCTTCATTTGATTTGCTGCCTTGGTTAGGCTTAGGGTTTTGATACCCCTTTCCTTCCCATTTCTTGTTCTTGCCCTTCCACTGTGGTTTTTGTTTGCTTGCATTAGCTTGACTACTAGATCCAACATAGAGTGATTGAAAAGCTTTCTCAGGTGCAAAATTGGCATGCCTCTCAAGCCTTTGGTCAAAAGCTCTTAAAGATACCATCACATCTTGCACACTAAGAGTTTTAGTGTCTTTGGTTTCTTCAATGACACTCACTATTGAATCATAGGGTTTAGTCAAACTAATTAACAGTTTCTGGACAATTCTTTCATTAGGCAGTTCCTCACCATATGTTCTTATCTTATTTACAACATCAAATAGCCTAGTAAAGTAGTCTTTTAACAGCTCATTTTCCTTATTCTTGTATACTCAAAATCTCTTCTAAAGGATTGAAGTTTTACCTTTCTGACTTTAGTGTCTCTCTGTATTCTTGCTATAAAACTTCCCAAGCTCCCTTTGCAGTCTCTTCATTTGCTATTCTCAGGAAAATGGTGTCTGAGACAACACCTTGGATGATTCCAAGTGCTCTAGCATCCTCCATTCGGTTCTGCTTCAGTGTTTTGAGTTGTGTTTCTGTGAGGGCGTCGACCTCCATTTCAGGTAGTTCATACCCGTATTGAACCATATCCCATAAATCATAGGACTTGAAAATGGTTGTCATTCTTATTCTCCAAAAATCATAGTTCTCCCCATCAAAGACTGAAGCTTTTAGCTTGCTGCTACTGCTTGATCCCTTCATTTGCAGGGTTGTTTGTTGATTGTTGTTGTTGAGGATACTACGTAGGTGCTCCTAAAGATTTCAACTTGCACAGATTACGCCCACAAAATTGTAAGATCAGAAACTAGGCTATGAGGCCATGAAAAGTTTGTTTATTTAGGTGTTTTGATGGATAATTTTTGGATGGGTTTCTTCAGATTAGGATAGCAGAGAATGGAGAGAACTTGGAGTTGGTACTGACGGCTTCAAGGCTGAGCAGAATGCAGCAGCACTGATTTCATTAAGTAAAGGAAATCTTGTAAGGCATGGTGCATTGCCATGACCCATACTTGTTTAAGAGAGTGATTGACAAGAGGCTTAACAACCATTTTAGCCTTACTACCCCAGATTGAATCCTAGCCCTTCCTTTGGGTTTAAGTGATTTAATCTGGAGTGTACACTTGTCATTCATACACTCACACATACATTTAAATTGAAACTAGCCGTTGGTGACTAAAACCCTTGATTTCTTCTTTCTTCTTCGATGCAAACTGAATCCAAGCCCGGGAGTTCCTTGCTACCTTCGATCCCTCGACTTCAGCAGTTGTTTAGCTTCCAACACTTTGCCCGAGGAACCTCTCCCTTGGGCTGGATCTCCCTCAGTTTTACCATACGAACGAACTCTCTTCATTGACATTATAGGTTCCCAGTATCTCTCCCGTTGCATTTTCTGCCGCACTTCAGCCCATTTATAGATCCTTGCTCCATCTTCAAATTCAGTACTGTAGTTCCATTTTCCACTACATTGCCTACCAGTATCTTTTTGTAATTTAAGTTCCCGGTCATACTGACTCCTGGTTGCTTCATTGGATAGAATCTTTTTATAGGTAATATTCAGGTTCTCTCACTGTGTCTACTAAACATGAATGAAAAATGAAAATGCGAAAAGAAAAAAAAAAGAAAAAAAAGAAACAAGGGGTTTATGGAAAACGAAATGCACTTCTTGGAATCCAGTGATTCTATCATTACCCAAGTTCTTAATAACGCCATAGATACGAGAAAATTTAAAGTAAATAACCATGGTTGATACTTTCGATCCACTTCTTCTAGACGCTAATTCATTTGTGGTTCTACTGAATGCAGTCACGTGTTTGAAAATTTAAAATATTGTAGAAGTTGGGGGAGGGAAGAGAGAGGTTTGGATGTAGAGGAGGAGAACAAATTGCCTGGGAGAATACAAAGAGTAAAAGAAAGAGACTGACTGAAAGTTGAAATAAGACAGGGTATTGTACAATGCCCATTTCATCCTTGGTTCTTCAACTTATTATTAATGGGTCTAACAACAAAGAGGCTTACTCGATGATATTAGATTAGACAGATTAGATAAGAAAAAGGGTACTTATTATTATTGGAAATTACTCATTTCATATGCCTGACGGATGCTGTTGAATACCCCTCCAGCTTGAGAATCGTTGCTAACTTCGGGATGATACTACAAAAGATATGCAAGAATGTGTAAGTTCTTAATTGTGAACCTCTGCCTTATAAAATCTGTAAATTCTTTGAAAACCAATATCAGTGGGATCTCCTAACCACACAGATGCAGTAGGGGAGATATTAAGGTTATGGCTACATGCATGAATCAAAGTGAGATGGCGTCATGCCAAACTAAGGGTGTTCGGACTCCAGGGTTTCCTCGGGAGGTACCTCTCACCATTTGGGCCACATAAAAGCATGCCACTAAGGAATTTACATACCAACACACACACACACACAGAGTCCATTATAGCATGTGCTTCAACAGCTATAAGCAATAAAGCATAAAAGAATGAACAAAGAATATATGAATCCAAAAGAAATTGGTGAACTTGAACACACTCTTGCAATAGTATTAAACACAATCAGATAGAGGAAATTTATTAAGTATCATTGTTTGATATGGCATCCATGGTTCGACAATATAAGTTGAAGCAGACAATGGTAAACTTCTAGAAGGTGTGACTCACACTTAATAACTGACTATATCTGCATCTGCATGTGTTCCTCCAGTTTCCCTCAAAACGTAGCTATTTTTGAAAGAATTGAAAACTAAAACCACAACTGTGAAGATATATTGTATTTCTCTCGAAAGATTTCAACTAATGAAGTTGGAAGTCTCCCAAAAAGGCTGTGATGAATTTCTAATGTACAGAAGTTCAAAATTTTACATGGTCATTTCTAAGGCTTCTCAGGAACAAACCCAAAAAAGTTATTAAAAAGAAAACAGAAGCCAAAGGACAAGTGAGAATGTAAGAGATTCTATGTTCGAATCTCGTTGATGACGAGCCCTATACTAATTCATAACGAGTTCTATACGAGTAATACTAGGGAAACTAAATTTGTAAACAAAGTTTTGAAAACTAAAGAACATGAAAGCTGATAATTGATTTATTATCTAAACATTAATAAACGTGCTTAATACACATCATTTAATTTTTAAATTTAATCTCCCTAGTATTAGACGAGAGGCTCTTGTATTAAGAAAACAAATGAACACTGCCACGTTGGGAAGGGATGCTCTCACAAGTATGACAAAGTGGTAGCAACGTCATCACCTATGTCAACCGTTGAGATGAGATGTCCCGTCAGCAAATGCAGCGACAAAAGTGGACCCACTTCACCCGAGTATATTGGCAGACATGCTCACACGTGGAGAAGAAAATGTAACCAAAGTCCAAGAGAGAAAGTGGAGGGAGTGAGTTCGACGTCCACGACTCGCAGTGGGCAATGGACGAGGAGGAGGATGCGTCCAGATTCATTCCGAACCCCCAAAGTAGCCAAAAAAAGGCAAAACCCCAAATGAGATGCCTCGAAAACAGGGCGCATGGTTGGCCATTTCCTCTTCCATTTAACACCCCAGACCTCCGACATCTTATTCTTCTTTCGGGCAAATAATCATACGCCTGTCAGGTATTCTTTTCTTTCTCTTTCTCTATCTGTTTATCTGGGTTTTGGATTGCTGTTTGTTTGATGTGTCATGCTATATTTTTCGGTAGATTATCATGCTCCTAATGTAGGCTTTGACGGTTGAGTTATTGGGATCGTGATCTTTTGTTGTTATTTTTATTATGGATTTTGAAATCATCATAGATGTTAATGACCAGATAAGTAGATGTCTACTTTGAACAATTCAACAAATGTTATTGGGATCGTGATGCTATATTCCTCGTTGTAAATAATGAATTAGAGTACATTTTCTTACATTTCAATGATTTTAGTGCGCTCAGTAGGACGGAACAGATAAGTAGATGTCTACTTTGAACAATTCAACAAATGTATTTTGGCAAGAATGTCAGGTTGGGAAGGTTGATAGGCAGAAACTACTGAATCAAAAGGGATGTGTTGTTTGGATTACTGGTCTCAGTGGCTCAGGTTATTTTCTTAACTGACTTGTTTATCCCTTCTTTTGAAGTTACACGTACGAATCAATATATTTTTCATTAGCTAACATTTCTTTCCATACCTTCTCCTGTTGTGTTCCTTTTGTCCGACAGTAATGATTTTTATCAGAGATTTGCACAAAAACACAGTTGACTAACTGCATTTTGTTTTTGCCTGGCTTGGCAAATTGCTAATACGATATCAGCCCATTATTTGGCATGGTAGGAAAATTTTCAGTGGTCTTAATATGCGTGAGCAGTTACTTCAGTCAATCCTGGTGATTGAATGAAATTGCTTACATCATTTTGGAGTAAATTTTTTTATTTGGTTAGGGGCTCATGGGATGGTCAATACCTGTGACATGATTCAGAGGAGCAGACCCAATTCTTGCCTCTATCCTCAATGGTCAATCATATGCAAGAGAGATGTAGGTCATGTTTTTCTAATTTACCCTGTGAGTTTGAGTCTTTGGTGGAAGCTGTTTAGGGAGTTTGAAGTAAGTTGGGTTATTCCTCGTAATTGTTTCTCTTTTCTGTGACTCTGTCTGAGAAGAATAAATGACCAGGGATGGGGAAGAAGGCCAAATTTTTTTGGGGTATGCATAGTGTTGCTTGTATTTTAGGTAGTCTGGCTATAGAGAAATAAAATGATTTTCAAAGATTTGCTGGCAGTGGGACAGACTAGTTATGGGATAAATTTTTGTTTTGATCATCATTTTGGGCCGCGGTCTATAGAACTGAGGGGGCATTATCTCATTCAAGCATTTGGTTAGATTGGAAAGCTGCTATTTGTTAGGTTTTGTGTCTTGTGCTTATGTTTTAGCATAAGAGAACATTTGTTTCTATGCCTCGTTTTTGTTTATGTTATCCTTGTTGTGGCATTGTCCATACAACATGTAATTTATTGTCTATTAATAAAATCAGAAAATATATGAGATCACACCAAAAGCATCTTAGCTCACTTCTAGTCAACTAACACTTCACACACAGGAGGAAAGCTACAAGAAATTTGATTTTTTTTTCCCCTCTTTGAATTCACTCCAGTCTATGTATTCACTAAATGGCTTCTTGAACTCTTTTCTGGAATCAGGGAAAAGTACATTGGCATGCGCATTAAGTAGAGAACTACACTCTAGGGGAAAGTTGTCATATGTCCTTGATGGAGATAACCTTCGGCATGGTCTGAACAAGGATCTTGGTTTCAAAGCTGAAGACCGGGCTGAAAATATACGCAGAGTTGGTATGTTATTCTTGACAACAAACTATTTTGGTAGGAACCATAGATTATTTGTTGTCAGATAACACATAAGACATGTCAACTGTTCTCAGATAACACATAAGACATGTCAACCAATATTGGATATAGACCACGCTGAGAATGTTTATTTGATTTCATTTTTCCTTTGTGGAGCCAAACATATCCTGGCATCATAATTCTTTGCCTTTTCAACTTGACCATTGTGTGTCCATTGGTAATATTTAAGCTAAATAAGTTTTCAATGTAGGGGAGGTAGCAAAACTCTTTGCAGATGCGGGATTGATTTGTATTGCTAGCCTCATATCTCCTTATAGGAAAGATCGAGATGCTTGCCGTGCAATGTTATCTGATCCAAACTTTATTGAGGCAAGACTCCATATGGTTCTTGTTCTTATAATCTGGTAAATGTGGTCCACCTATTTTAAACTACGAAGATTGATTTTTATATTACATCCATGTTAACAGGTTTTCATGAACATGCCCCTAGAATTATGTGAGTCAAGAGATGCAAAAGGCCTTTACAAGCTTGCACGTGCTGGAAAGATTAAAGGTGTGTTTCGAAACATTACTCCTATAATTTCTCCATTGGCATGTTCAGACTGTTGGTCTATGCAAAGGAAAGAGATAAAATTAATAAAAACAGATATAGAAGCCCAATATATGATTTGTATCATGAAATGACAGAATTTTAATATAACATGGTGTTACTTTCTATTCAAATAAGAGTCTTTCCTTTTTCTTTTTGTCAATTTTCCAGTAATAGTTCTCAATTGCAGGTTTTACCGGAATAGATGACCCTTACGAGCCACCAGAGAATTGCGAGGTATGTATTTGGTGGAGTATAAAAACTAATGGCCATGTCGGCATGTATCTTCTAATACACATTGTTTAGTTTGGAGACATTATAAAATCACCAGTGCTCTTTTGGTGTTCCTTGTGCATGCAAATCAAACTGAATATTTTACCCTTGTTTTGTCAGATAGAAATAGAACAAGAAAATGGAGTTTGCCCCATGCCTGCAGCCATGGCAGGCCAAGTAGTGTCCTACTTGGAGGAGAAAGGATTTCTTCGAGTTCAGTGACTTGCCTCTGTTCAACTTACCTGTTGCATATCTGGCAAGGCATCACTTTGGAGTTAAGGATTTTATTTAGAACAAAACATATGATTGGTTGGATCAACCCGGCGCTGGCACTAAGACCGCCCTGACAATCTTTTGGTACTACTTGCTAGCATTGAGTACATACTTTTGGTTAATATATTTTGTTTATAAGACTAATAGATAATACAGTTTTGAATTAGCAAAACATTTATGTGGCTAATTCTGATACGTGTAATGGGATCAAAGTTCCTTTTCCATGTTGGAGATTTTCATATGGTTTGTTTTGTACCATCTTACACTTGTGACCATTCATCGAATTTTGACCTTGGATTTACAACATATATTTAGTCATTTGCCTACATTGTCGGATAGTACATGAGTTTTGAATTCTAACATACGTTAATGTAGTGTTTCTTGGATCTTTTGGAACATGTTTGGGGCAATGTTGGTTAAAACTGAATTGTAACTATATCAGCAAATCCACGTCAATACATCGCCTGCAATCCTGAGTGCGACGTCACCTTCCCCTGCCTTCCTTGTCTCTCTTCTTCCTCCTCCTCCTCCGGCAATGATTCCGATCTCTGCGCCGATCTCTGCGCATACGCCACCAATTCGCACTCCGTTTAGTTGAATTGAATGGAATTTATCCAGATGGCATTAGAGTAGAAAATCCCGTGTTATTGTATATTAGAAATCAGCAGCAGCTACATTTGGTTGACAATCTGGAAAAAAAAAAAAAAAAAAAAAAAAAAAATCTATTTCTTTTCCCATATTCTATTATTTATGCCTGGGTTTTTTGTTTTAATAGTATTATTTATGCCTGTGTTTGATGAGATTGGAATACTCACGCGTGTATAACTGTTGACTACAAAAATTACAGAACCTACGTGGCGCGCAGGCCGAATAACTAATGAGCTAACTAATGTCCTTCGGTTGAATGCGGGGCGTGCCAACTCGTCGGCCGAGCTCGGCCGAGGAGTAAAATTTGATGCAGTCGCGTTGAGCGCGCTGTTGACTTCTGTATCTTGCGATTGCGACCGAGGAAGGAACGCTCTCGGTCTCTGGATTCTATAGCCTGAAGACAAGGCTACTAATTCTACGGAGTTCACAACTCGTCGAAGCCTGATTCGGCCACTGTGATTATATTCGTAAGAGTATAAGCACGCCGAATTGAGACCAAACTATACGGGCACAGGTACCCGAATGTGATATATGTCTTGATGGTAAACGTAGTTCGGCCGTCGGAATGCCGAACCCTGAAACTTACTTGTGAGTATCCAATCATAAACTCACTCGGCCTCCAATGCGCCGAGCAAGGCAATTCGTAACACCCAACTATGCCGAAGCGGCTTAGTAAGATGACCTCTACCAACAAAGGTTCGAAAACCTTTCTCGGCCGAGACTTAGATAGATAATCGGTCGACCTCGACGCAGTGCTGTTTATCCAAACTGAAGGTGTGTCTTGGTCGGCTGATTCTGCGGCAGCAGTGCTGTTTATCCAAACTGAAGGTGCTCACCGGTTGCTTCCACAGTGCTGTTTATCCAAACTGAAGGTGTGTCGGCGGGAAAAGAAAAGGAAAAATCTCAAGGTGTTTGAGAGAATTTGCGCAGGGCAATTGTATGCTGATTGTGGAGGCCTTTCTATTGCGTAATTTCTTGTATTTATAGCACCTCGTTCCTTGATTCCCATTCTGATTTGGATTGGGAGTCCTTGTCCCATCTCACCTTTAACTCAAACAATCCCAGTCCTATTGGGATTCTGAATTCTCCTACTTTTGAGGTTCTATCCCTTGCCGGTCGAGAATCCTGGTTGCATCAGGATTTCCTCGACCTTTCCTCGTTTATCTGGACTACTTAAGATCGGATCTGGCCGACCCTGCCAGCTGGTCCGAGTCTCATTACTTGGCCCATAGCATGTGTTATTACCCTGGGCCGAGCACGTCTTGCTGCTCGGCCCAATCATAATATTTTGGGCCCAAACATTGCCCCCTCGCTTCTGAGGTCGCCGGCTGTCACTCTTGGTCGGTTCTCGGCCTTGAAGAAGCGAAAACATTTGTTGCTTTTTGGACCTTACTTCATTAATGACCATTATTCCTGCATATTTATGAGACATGATTGCGCCTCCTTCGTTGCCCCCAACGCGTGGCCACGCGTCAATTTTTACGCCGTTCTTAAAAGCTTCAATCATGGGCCTCGAAAACTTGCACAAACTGAATCGCCCTATCTTTATTAATACATTGAACCTGTCTCCGCACGCAATCGTGCGTCCTGGATTTTCGACTCCTCGATTCCATTTTCGCAGGTTCCCAAAAAAAATCCGAAATGATTGCAGACTTTCCCGGTCACATTTCCCCCCAATTTGAACCCACGCCTTTTGAATTCCAGTGTCTTTTGAAATTCAGACGTTTGATCTTTCGTCTGAAAAGCCTATAAATACCCACACTTCACCTAATCATATCTTACACTTTCAGAAATTCCCAAACTTGCACATTTTAATCATTCTTGCTTATTCAAACCAAACCCTCTAGCTTTCCTTTCTGCAATTTTCCAGTTCTTCCAAATTACACTAATGGCTTCCTTCATCGCAAAACTTTCCGAGGAGATCAACAAGTGTAAGGATTTCATCGATCGGAGCGCTATCAAGACGCTGCGATTTGAAGAGGACATGGCCACCACCCACCAGATTCTGGGTCCCCTCTTCAGAGACGCAGTGCCGTCGCCTATCACTGACCTGCTCAAGGAGCAATGCCTAACACCCCTGCTGCAGGGGTTCGATTGGTCGAAGTGGACCCTGGCGCGGCCTCAAGGAGCTTGGCCCTCGACCACTACTGCTTGGGCCGCCTGGGTGGACCGAATGAGGTCATTCTTTGGCGAGGAGTGGAAAACCCTTGGTATCTATGATGCCATCCTGCTCTCGACCATGGAGATTACCATGGACAAGGAGCTGCTTATGGCGGCCTTGACTCTTTGGTGTTCGGCCACCAACACTATGGTCCTTCCATTCGGCCCCCTCGGCCCAACGATCCTCGATATTTCGGCAATCCTTGGGACTTCTCCATCCGGCCTCCCAATCGATGCCGCTCTTTCAGGATGCCCCTCCCTCCTCGACCTGAAGGCGCTTTTCGACGAGCGGGCCGTCGAAACGCTCAGTCGGGGTGGCCGGGAGCCTTCGAAGGAAGAAGTTCACAAGCTCCACAAAAACTTCTTTAATTATAATACTCTCATCCTCCATTTCGCCGGCCGGGGCGAGGAGAGTCTCAGGAAGGGGGAACATGAAGCCTTCCCCTTCTACTGGTACAACAAGTTTATTTGTTGTACCAGATCGAACAAATGTTTGGTCGAGAATATGCCGGTGGCCCAGGCTCTGGCTAGTGGTCACCTTCTGGCGCTCAGCCCGGCTATTCTTGCCAACCTTTTTCGTTGCTTGGCCGAGACGACCATCAACAAGATTGATCCGCACCAGAATGGGCCCCTCTGGGTCTTTCAACTCTGGCTGCAGGTCTACTTCTCCACTCTTCGGCCTGAAGTCCCTACCTTCCAGCGCTCGGCCGCCCTTGGCCCCCAACTGGCATCTCGACCGGCCCCTCCTCACCGGGCCGACGAGGTTCTTAGGCATTTTTTTGGCCTCGACGTCCTTTCGGATGACGAGTTCTTGGTGTGCCGGCACCAGGAATACCCTGCCTCGATCAGGCTCCCGACGGCAGCCTGGGCCGAGATCGAGGACGCGGGCCTCCGACAGTCTTGGGGGTCAATCGTACTGGCTCGCGACCTTCCCCTGGGTTGCGACGCCCGCCGAGCCAGCTGGGAGGTCTACCATCCTCACTTTGTCGCCCGGCAACTCGGCTACCTCCAAGGTTGCCCCGTTCCTCTGCTCGCTTCCCGTTCCCTCTTGAGCCGGGGGCGCCTTTCTGGTTCTTCCGAGAGGGAATGCCGGTCGACGGAGCAAGAATTCCAGGATCGGTGTAAGAAGTTCCGTCTTCGCCCAACCGTTCCGGAATCCTTGGGCACCGATACCTTTGGGGATTGGTGGGATGCGTACATCTGCGACTTCTTCGGCGCCTCAATCGAAGACGTGGTGAGCAAAGTCTTTGGCGACCGGCCGGGACTAGCACCCTCGACCCAACCTAAGGAGTCGGCTCAAGGTATATTACTGAAACTACTTCGCCATTTCAAAACTTGCCCTTGTTTAACAATTACGTTGCTATTTCAGGGGGTCGTGGGTCGAAGAAGGCCGAAGTGGTTGCCGCGGCGGCGAGAGTGAAGAAGGTGGTGCCCAAGAAAACCATCGCCACTGAGCGGACAGCCCCCTCCAAACGCCTCCACCGAGAGGCCGAGCCGGAGGTTGATGTCCTTCGCCCTTCTAAACGCGTCAAAAAATTGGCGAAGAAGGGCGACCGGGAGATCCATGTCGTCCCCAGTGATGCTACTGGGACGCCTGCCTCTGACGGCTCTCCTGTGCCGGCTACCCCGGCATCTCTACTCCCGATCCCTCCAGCCGGCTACCCTGGCGCCACGGCCGATCCAATCGTCGCACCATCTCCAGCTTCGGAGCCGGTCGTGGCGCCTGCAATGGCCAAACCGGCTGCGCCCGTCGATGCACCCTCGACTCCCACGGTCGTTTTGGAGGTAAAACTCTACTTCCACTTGTTTCCTTAGGTTTCGGGTCGTAATGCTAAATGTTCTCTTTTTGTTCAGGATGACGAGAGCGTGAGTAACGAAGTTCCGCTGGAACGCCACCGTCGACCAGTTCACTCTCCTCCCGTCCATCCTCCTCCGGTCGTCGAGGCGACCGCTAGACCACGTCCTTCCGCGGCAGATCGTGGTAAGAGGCCCATGGCCGATCCTGAGGCCACGGCCGAAACGCCGATCCATCCGCAGGACGAAGACCTTCCCATTCCTCCACAGGAAGTCTCTTCGGCCTTTGTAAGTCTCGCTTCTTTTGTATTGATTTTTTCGTGACACATGTTTTATTTGAAAAAGACCATTAAATGTCAGGTGCCCGAACATTCATTTCACCGGCAATTTTATGCGCCGAGGGGTGTTGTCTATATTTCCTGGCCACCGTCGTGGCCATCAAATGTAGATAACCTCCATCGGCCGCGTGAATTGCGTAGCGGTCTAAGGCACTGGGCTCGGCCATTAAGTTCCCTGGGTTCGAGCAATGACCCAGAGGGCATGGCCGAGGTCTCCTCTCGGCAGGTCTAAAACAATCCCCCTTTTCCTTTATGCACTATATGATGACGTTTTACTTTTCTTCACAAAGTTCTCTTACGTGCAGCCGTCGTGGGAAGTGGAGCTCGATGCCCTTCTGCAGAGCACGAATGGTGCGGCCGGTTCTTCTGCTGCTCCGGCCGAATCGGCGGAAGCCACGCCCGCCGAAGTCTTTGTGAAGCTGCACGAAGTCTTGTCTCTGACTGCCTCCCAAGCTCTTCGGTGCAAAGGCCTCGACTCTGTTGGAGAGTGTCTCAACGACCTCGCCAGCGGTGGTCATCTGAGCCCGGAAGGTATCTCTTTCCTTACCGACCTCCTGGAGCGGACTCGGCAACACTTCTATGTCCTCGAGCGAGCCCTTCAAGCCGAGGATGACTTGAAGGCTGCCAAGGTCGCGCAAGAGGCCGGCCGAGCTGAGATGGAGGCAATCAAAGCTAAGAAGGCGACGCTGACTGAGTTTGATCGCCAGATATTTGAACTCCAACGTCAAATCTCTGACCTTCAACGACAGAGGTCAGTTGCCGCTGCCGAGCTCGAGAAGGACTTCGAGGCTAGCAAAGCTCGACTGACGGCCTTCGCTGCCGGTGCACGGCACGTCCAGCAGTTGCAGTGTAACAAGAAAACCAGGCAGGCCGAGATCATTCTGGGCGAAGCGAAGTGGCTGGAGCTAAAAGCTGCCCTTGAGACTTATCTCCCCCCGTCCCCTTAGAAATCTCATTGTATTGTATTTTCTTTTTGTAATGATTCTTTTGATATCAATACAATGGTCGTTTTACTATTAATCCGATGGTCGTCTCGCTACAATGGTCTTATTCTTGCATTTCCCATGTAATTGGATAATACTTCTTTAAAAACTTTCCATTAATCGGCAATTTGTGAACTGAACCCGTCCGATCTTTTAAATGATATGCCCCCTTGCCGAGGACTTTGTGAACGACGAATGGCCCTTCCCAATTCGGCGACCACTTCCCAAATCTTGGATCCTTAATCCCAACAGGCAACACAGTTTGCCAAACCAATTCTCCTTCGCCGAACGTTTTTTGTCTTACCCGCTGGTTATACGCTCGTTCGGCAATTTTCTTTTGTGCTATCAATAAGTTACTCGCGTCGACTCGACTTTCTTCTAAATCTTCTAATTCCTGCCGCATCGCTTGACAATATTCAATACTGAACAAGTCACTCTGCTCGATTACTCGTAACGAACTTATACTTAACTCGACCGGTAACATGGCGTCGTGTCCGTAAGTTAACGCGTAAGGGGTCGTTCCAGTGGCCGAGCGGGGTGAAGTTCGGTATGCCCATAACGCGTCATTTAACTTTAAGTGCCACAACCCAGGTTTTTCTTTTACCATTTTTTCAAGGATGCCGATCAACACTTTATTGCTTGCCTCGGCCTGCCCGTTTGCCTGTGGGTAATACGGCGTAGATTGCTCGAGTCGGATGTTCAACCTTGCTGCGTATTCCTTAAACCTATCGGCCGTGAAGATAGTGCCATTATCAGTTATGATCGTTTCTGGCACGCCGAATCTGGTCACAATATTTTCCTCTACGAAATTGCATACCTCCTTGGCCGTTAATTCGGCGTATGACCTTGCCTCGACCCACTTAGTGAAGTAGTCAGTTGCTACCATAATCCACGCGTGTTTCGCTGCCCCCGATGATGGCGTGATTTTGCCAATCACGTCCATTGCCCAACCTCTGAACGGCCATGGTTTGGTGACCGAATGTAGCAATTCGGCCGGGGCTCTCTGTACGTGTCCATGAATTTGGCATGGTACGCATCTCCGTGCGTATTCGATGCAATCCTTTAATATACTGGGCCAAAAGTAACCGTGTCGTCGGAGCAACCAACGCATCTTTCGTCCAGACTGGTGTGCTCCGCAAATTCCTTCATGTACCTCGGCCATTGCTTGGGCAGCCTCGTCTGGGCCAAGGCACAACAGCAGTAACCCATCCTCGCCCTTGCGATATAATTCATTTTGATACGACACGTAATTCGTGGCGAGGACCTTCGTTCTCCGGTCATGTTTCCCGTTGGGATTATCGAGGTACCGTAACATCGTTTTTCTCCAATCATCTGGTTCTACCTCGACGGCATATATTTCTACGGGGTCTCCCCGTTCTAGTAAGGATGGGAGCGACATTACCCTTGTTCGTATTACGTGTGTGCGCTGGAGGGTTTGCCGATCGATCAAGGCCGGGTACGATTGCAGGCCTGTGGCTGCGATGCGGCCAAGTTTGCCCCCCATGAGTTGTGCTCCAGAGGCGATCTGGGCGAGTTCATCGGCATCGGTGTTGTGGATTCGTGAAATATGTTCAAACGTGATCCGTTCGAAGGACTCGGCCAAGTATGTGGCGACCATGTGATATGGCGCCAAAGTACAACTCATGCAACGAAAAATGCCGTTCAATTGGTTAATCACAAGTTCGGAATCACCGAGGACAAGAACACGGGAGGCCCGTAGATCGTGTAAAACGTGGAGACCGATAATGAGGGCTTCATATTCGGCCTGATTGTTTGTGCAGCTGAAATCCAACTTGAGAGAGAAGTACCATCGGTAGTGGTCGGGCGACTGAATTGCGATGCCGACACCTGCCGAGGTCGAAGTACTGGATCCATCGAAATGCATAGTCCAATGGTTATCGCGTGTGGTGACTAGACCGATGTCGACATCGCCCCCTTCAAAACCATATGGGGAAGGGTGCTGGGCCAAGAAATCGGCGAGAGCCTGCCCCTTGACCGCTTTTTGGGGAACGTACTGCAGGCTAAATTCGGATAAGGCGAGTGTCCATTTCCCGATTCGGCCTTTAACGATAGGCCGAGTGAGCATGTAACGAATTACGTCTGTCTGGGCGATGACCTGCGTAACTGATGGGAGCATGTAATGCCGAAGCTTGGATGTGGCAAAAAACAAAGCTAAGCAAAGTTTTTCGACCGGTGAGTAATTGAGCTCTGGTGCATTCAGATTTCGGCTAAGATAAAAGATAGCTTGCTCACGACCGACGTTGTTGTCTTGCGCAAGGAGACAACCAATGGATTCGGCGGCTGCCGAAATGTATAGTTTGAGGGGTTTGGTGCGACAAGGTGGAACCAGCACGGGTGGGGTCGAAAGGGCCACCTTGATCTGCGTGAATGCACTCTGATGTTCTTCGCGCCAAACAAATTTATCGGTATCCTTAAGTTTGAGGAGAGTAGAGAATGCCTTCATTTTACCGGCCGAATTGGCGATGAAACGGCGGAGGAAGTTGATCTGTCCGAGTAACGACTGCAACTGTTTCTTTGTTGTGGGAGGTGGGGCGCTAATGATGGCGCGGGCTTTATTGGCGTCGACTTCGATGCCGCGATGGTGCACCAAAAACCCTAGGAAATTGCCGGCCGAAACACCGAAAGCACACTTGGCTGGGTTCATCTTGAGACTATTCTTGCGCATGCGAAGGAACGTTTGTCGTAGGTCATCCAGGTGTGTTTGGCGGCGTTTCGACTTTACCACCACATCGTCGATATAAACTTCGACGATGGTCCCAATTAAGTCGTGGAAGATCATATTCATGGCTCGTTGGTATGTGGCGCCGGCATTCTTGAGGCCGAACGGCATGACTACCCATTCGTACGTGCCCAGTGCCCCTGGGCAACGGAAAGCCGTTTTGTGGACGTCGGCTTCGGCGATGAAAATCTGGTTGTATCCCGCATGACCGTCCATAAAAGATAGTAGTTCATGATTAGCTGCGGCATCAATGAGCAAATCTGACATTGGCATTGTATATTCGTCCTTGGGAGTCGCCAGATTCAGGTTACGGAAATCGGTGCAAATGCGGAGGGCACCGTTTTTCTTCAACACTGGGACGATATTGGCCAACCATTCGACGTACCGAGCGGTCCTAATAAATCCGGCCTTGAGAAGCCGAACCAGTTCTTCCTTAATGCCGAGTTGTAACTCGGTCGAGAATCGGCGAGGGGGTTGTCGAAAAGGCTTACAACCGTCTCTGATGCGTAGCTCATGCTCGACCAAGTTTCGATCGAGGCCTGGCATTTCATGGTAACTCCACGCAAAGCAATCTTTAAATTCCTGAAGTAACTTACGGAGTTCGGCCTTCATGGCCGGTGGGAGTAACGCGCTTATAAACAATATGCGAGGATCATCGACCGTGCCTACGTTAACTTCCTCTAATGGGTCCTTGACTTGAGGCCGATGGTCCTCGAGTTCGGCCGGTGCTGCCCGAACCTTCTCGAGAGACAAAACAGGGCCGTCATCTGCTTCGGCCAAAAATTCAATTAAATTAATGCCAGAATGCGGTTGCTTGGTAATGGCGTACCAATGGGCCAGCAGACGTTCCATCGTTGATGAAACCGCGGCCTGACGCTGTTCTTGTTTGGTGTACTCAATCATCGGCATTGGGGACTAAATCTGCCAAGCCAAGGCGCGCCGAATCCTGTTGGACAGTCTCGGCGCCGACCTCAATCACTTTCTGCACTGAAATTCGCGTCGGCCGCCCATCCTCGTTAAGACCTTGGAGGGTGATGTAGCCGACGTGATCATCATAATAGCGAGCCTGAATCATGTTGGTCTCAAATGGTTGATTATCGGCTGGATGGATGGTAACCGATTTGCCATCCCAGAAGATGAGAACTTGGTACAGTGATGAAGGAATGCAACTGGTTTGGTGGATCCAGTCTCGACCAAGTAATGCGTTATAATCGGTCTTGGAATCAATTATGAAGAATGCCGTCATGTGTTGGCGACCGGCAATGCTAACCTCCAATGGTAACACTCCTTTGGTCTGAGACTTGTCACCAATGAAGCTGCTCATAGTGATC